TTTTCAAAAAGTTTTATAAATGTGTGGGCAATGGTCAGAAAAAATGAAACCTAATGTGGTTAGCACACAACCGACCGCAATATTTATATTAATTGTCTAGTTTAGTGAAAGTGTTCCAGAAAATAAATGTAAACTTGACTCTTATTAGTGTTTCGTTCATTCTCATTCGAATTCCCTGAAAAGTTCGCCAGTTAGTTTCGGTAACAGCCAATATCTCAAATATTAAACTTCAAGAAATTCCATTGATTGATTCCGTTGACATGATAAAAAATGTAAAATTGTCCACTGGTTTGGTTTCCAAGAGATCTTTTCAAAAAAATGTATACGTTCATTGTTTTAACACCCCCACTTTAAATATTAAATTTCATGGAAATTCGATGATTATTTCCCTGATATGCGCCAAAAAGTGAAATTTTATAGTGAAAAGGCCCACTTGTCGATCTCTGACATATCCCAAAAGTTGAACAATTCGTGACATAACTGAAATAAACTCACATATAAAATTTCATCAAAATCGGTTTAACCAAATTTGAGAAACACGCGCCCACCCAAAGACCGACAGATCGACATCTCTCTGAAAATAGTTTATTTGCACTTCTCTACTATGGAGAAGTGCAGTCTCAGCAGAAGTGAAAAATCGACACCCGAAATTTAGTGCCATCACGTAACCTGCCTTATTCTATGCAATAAGGTCGATAAAAATAAAAATGCAAGGATAGTAATATCCGGGTTTTGTTCTAAATGAATTTTTGTAATCAAAACTTTTAGATAAAAATGAAAAAATAGTAAAGACTTTTTAATAGTAATTATGAGTTTAATCGTTTTAAATTAAAACTTCATTTAAATTGTCTTTTGATTAGAACAAGAGTCAATTATTAAAAAAATTTATTATTTTATTATAAAAGTGTTGTTCCGAAACTCTCGTTTTTTTATTAAAATGTAAAAGAGAAGCAATGAAGTTTTCCAATTTAAATTCTCAAAATGAAGGTATACCTTGTTTATCTAACATAGCTTTGGTTGTTTTTTTTTAAGATTTGTGATTCTATTCGAATATTGTGCATTATTTCTCATCTTCCTCCTACATTGTTGTTAGTTAGTAGTCAGTTTTTTCATAAAATAAAATTTTCCGCATGTCTATTTAAAAATTAAACTATGTGGAAATCAGCAATCATTCCAAAGATTATACAATGGGTATTAACAACCCGTTGGAAGATATAAAATACGCCGATGACACGACTTTGCTGACTCACATACATTCAGATGTGTATTTGAATAAATTGCGTATAAAAGCGGTAAAGTAGTCGACCTGAAAATTAACACAAGAAAATCACTCCGAATAAACATAGCTGAGCAAAATCTACACCCTTCACTATAAATACAAGCACAAAAACGGATGTCAAAAAATTTAATAACCTCGGCAGTATAAAATTGACACCTTGAGAAGACGTAGGAAATAGGTCGAAGCTGGCTAAGGAAGCGTTTGACAGATTGTGGATCATTTAAAAATCTCCTTATGTAATGTATCAGTCCTGTTATATGATTCAAAACAGGTGCTCACAAATAGAAACCTAAGATTTAAGTAAACCAGAACAAATCGTTAATATGTAAGAAAAAATTAGGATGGTTATTAGGATGAGCTGAGGTGATTGCAAGACAGGTATTGGAGTGGAACCCGTAGGGCAGTCGATCGATCGGAAATTTAAAATTAAAAGTCTATACTACTATAACTCCAGCATAGGTTTTATCAGCCGACTACACCAAAATTAATTAGTTTCTATATAGTCTACCTCTCGAAACAAAAAGAGTAGATATTATTAAATTTCTTTTAAGGAAATATTTGATATTTCAAAGAAATATCTAAAATTTTCTGAAACCTTAATTGAACAATTCCCAATTCCAAAATAACAATCATAAATTTAAGTTGTCAATTGAATTTTTAATAAGCACATATTATTTATTCTAACATTAATTGACCTAAATTTTTTGTTATTAATTTGATTTGAATATGCTTACGTATATATAAAATTAGAACTATTATACTAAGTACTACAAGTATTTGATTGACGATAACAATCATTTAATTAAGTTTCGATCTAAAAAGAAAAACGTTGTTTTTCTTGTTCCTCTTCTTCTACATTTTGTTTCGAAATGAACAATTGAAATGTATAGGCAATTTTCATAAGAATTTCCAAGTATCTGTGCTTGTATATGCTATACAACACTAATTTTAGTTAATTTTCCCAAATACACATAAAATTCTTATTCTTATTCTCATATTACATACTAATAACAACACGTTATAGTTCGGCATTCTATTCTTAGACTTCAATAAAAAAAGAAATCAATGTAAGAAAATAAAGTCATGATAAAGTAAAGTACATACGAGTATAGTTTAAGTTTTCTTCCAAGGATCTAAAGTTTAATAACAATTATTTTATTATTTTCTTTTACTTTCTTCCATTTTTACTACATTTTCCCTATAACTTCTACGTAGTCAGCAATCATCGATAAAAAGGGACGTATAAATAAAATTCCATTGAAATGATTTTTTTTTTATAAATAAAGAATAATAAAAATTCGCGAAAAAAACTAATATAAACTATATATAGGTCGTGTATAGCAATCTAATTGTACAAAATATAAAACGGATGACCAAAAACAAAAAAATCTGATGGGATCAGCACATAACCGCGAGCGCAAACTGTATTGTTTAGTTTAATAAAAATGTGCCACAAGAAGTCATGAAAAATTCTTTTGAAACACTTTTTCAGATTTGAAGGACCTAGTGTCCTTTAAACTTTTGTTTACCATACCTAGAAAAATTCAAATTTTGTTCTTAGTAGAGTTTCACTTTGTGCCATCCGAATTTTTTCAAAAATTTCGTCAGGTACTTGAGGTACCAAACGAAATTTCAAAAAATTTCGTCAATTTCAAAAAATTCCATAAAAAATTAAAAATCAGCTCAGTTTCCGAGCCCTGATTATTAAACTAAATTGGTTGATTATTGCTCTTTGTATGTGGAAAAAAGTAAATTTGGCCCGTAGTAAAAGTACATTTGCTGCACCCGGATTTCTTAAAAAAGTTGTGTGGCTTTTTGCACTGTAAAGCGAAGCTTATACATTTCAAGTTATACAAATTTCAAGTTAATCGGTTTAATATATTCTTAAAAATAATCAAAAATGTAAAATCCGTAAAAAAATTCCGATGCCTAGTTTATATCCCAAAAGTTGATTAAACCGTCTAAACCTCGAAGTAAATTTATGTATAAAATTTTATCGTAATCGGTTCTGTCGAATGAGAGATACGAATCTGTACAGATAGACTAACAGACAGGCAGACACATTTTTACCGGAAACTCTGTATATAAAATTTGGTACCATCACATCACCTCCCTTATTGTATGCAATGCGGTCGGTAAAAAGGATGATTAAAAAACAAAATATTTTTTTCCTTTGTAATAAAGAGTTTATCGATTCCGTTTTATTTTTCTTTTTAATGTAAGATAAATCGATTATATTCGTTTAATGTGTTTGAGAATATGTCCGTTAGGTGCACATTTTTATATATACATATTTATAGGTTCTGAATATACAATAGTATTTTTAGTTTTGATTTGAACAGTGTATAAACTTGCTTAATTTTCTAATAAATTTTCAACACCCAAATTAGCTAGAGACTAGAAATTTTAGGTATAAATAATATTCGTTTGGTAGGTTTTTTACGATACCTTCAATAAAGAGTACAACTATAAGAACATTTCAATTTGTTTAAATTAATGCCATAAAATGAAGCCATAAGAAGAATATTACAATCAGAGGATCCTACTGCTGTATTAATGTTACTTCTACTAATGGATGATAAATGTCAGTTGTGTCGCACTTACAATATTTTTAGTTTTTATTTTCGACCCCATTGTATACAAACCAAAAAAACAAAACAAAATTTTGCACCAAATTTGCATGTCGAGTTTTCGAGGGAAACGTTCTTCCTCATTTTTCAAAATATTTTTAAAATATGTTTGTCTGTTTGCTTCTCTGTTTGTCAATTTGTCTTGGCAGACCAATATCGGTTTAATCAATTTTGAGATATGTCAGGTCTTTAGAATCTAGAATCTATTACGGACCCTATGGATCGATTTCACGTTTTTGACTATTTTAGAGAAAAAATATCAGCCGATTTGCCTGAAATTTCACATATAAGCATCGTCTGACAATATAAAGTCACTTAACTTATTGAGGTCAAAAAGTGTATTCAATCAGATGTCAGCAAGAGGACTTCATATTTAAAATCTAATTATTAAAACAATAAATCAGTAAATTTTTCATCAATATCGTGTCGATTTTATAAATATTTGATCATATATCTTAGGAAGTTATCGAGGAAATTTCTTGAAATTTTAGTATTTGAATTCTGGTTATTAATGAAATTAACTGAGAATTTTTTTTGGTGTTTTATGTTTGAATCTGATTCAACTCGAGCTGAATGAATTTATGAAATGCGGAATACTCTGGTAACCGGTTATAAACGTTTCTCTATATATTGAGAGGTAATTTTTTGATTGACTTATACATAAAGCTACTGCAGATCTCGAAAACATTTAGATTAACAAATTTAATACTTTTTTTTTTGGGAAAATTTTGCGTATTAGTTGAAAAATGTATTTTTAATAAACAAATTTATTAATAATTTTTCTTTAAAACAAATTTACCATTATTGATATTTTTACAAAACTAAAAATTTTCATAAGGGTTTTTATACATACATATACATATACATATATATAACAAGAAGGGTTTAAGGTTTAATAAATTTTATTAATTTTAAAGACAGACTTTCTTATTTTTTTTTTTCTTGTTTTTTTTTTTTTAACAAATTTTACATTTTTCTTAATAAATTTTCATTGAAAACAAAAAGTCAAAAATATAATTTTAATACACAAAAACAAAAAAGGATTATAATTTTTTTTTTTTTTTTTTGAGACAAAATTATTAAATTGAAAATACTTTTAAAAATTTAAGTACTTTAATAATAAAAATCCAATAATTGTACAACACGAAATTAAAATATTTGTAAATTTTGTTAATTGATTTGGTGCTGAATTACAACCATCTTCATCACATATACAAATTGTTTCAAGATATCCTTCATTATCAGCACTAATACATGATTTTCTATTTTTATTATATTCATTAACTGGATTATGATCTCTTAACCATCCACATGCTCTAACAGTTCTTGATGATTGTTCATAATTTAAGAAATACGTTGTTTTACGGCAAAATAATGTATGATTTAAACTTTTATCAGCATTTTGTGGTACAGTACAATCTTTAAGAAATTGATCAGTTATAGTCATCGTTTCGGCATTATATTTAAGATCATCACAATGTAGATCTACTAATGAATTACATTGATGACATCTAATTGCATTAACTAAAATATAAAATAATATAAAAAAAAAAATTTATTAAATTAAGTTTTAAAAATTTTATTAAAAAAATTAAATATTAAATAAAATATAAATTAAATATTGTTCTGTATAAAACGATAATGAATGCATTGCAAATATTGTGAATATTTAAGTTTAACCCTTTACGTAAATTATGTAAAAATAAAACCATGTTGCAATGACTCCGAATGAGTTAAGAACTATCGTTTTTAGTTGAAAACAAATTTTTAATAAAAATAGCGAAAATTTCATTTTATTGGGGTGTCAAATCCAAAAGAGAAACGCTGGAATTAATATAATCGCCAAAATTTGGATTTCTTGGATCATGCCTGTCAGACTGACCGACATCATTGAATGATGTTGGTCTGTCTGGCTGTGTGCGCACGCGTGTATCCTAAGTTCTGTTTAACAAATTTTGATGAACAGAATTTCGGGAACTGATCCTTTTTGCGGACCAATTTTACATTTTTGTGTATATAATTGTCAACCAATTCCCAATTTCATATTTAAATTCGGGGTGTTAAAACAATGAATCAATAAATTTTTGAGAGAGATGAGATCTCAGAAACCGAACTGGGAGCCGATTTTCGTTTTTCACCATATCCACGGGACGGATTGATGGAATTTCTTAAAATTTGTTATTTGAATTTTTAGTTTAGTAGCACTTTTCAGGGAGTTCGGGTGGTACAAAACGAAATTCTATTTAGAGCCCAATTTACACTTTTTTAAGTATGTTAGATAAAAGCTTGCTAACTTCCTTAAAAATGAAAGTGTTCAAAATGAATTTTCATAATCTGCTGTAACACTTTCACTAAACTAGGCAACATACATTGCGGTCTGTTATGCGAAGGCCACATCAAATTTTTTTTACTTGAATGCAATGATAAAATATATTTTACGGTATCGGAAATATTTCGGTTTCAATTTACAATGTATATTAATATTCATGATTTTAAATATATTTAAATTAATTAATATAATTAACAAAGGTCAAAAATAATTAATTAATTTTAAAAATTTTATGATGATTAAAACAAAATATTTTATTAGTACATTTATGAATCATTTCTTTAAAAAGCAAGCAAATATTGTAAAGTTCAATTAAAATTAATATTTGTGCTAAACTTGTGTTTACTCGTACATTAGATAATAATTATAACCATTTAAAATTTAAAATAAATATTGTTATCATTTACAATGTTAGAATATTAATGGCCTTTTTTAAAAATTGAATTGTGAATTATGAGTGCACTCATATTGAATGTTCTCATATAACAAATAAAAGGTATACTTTAAGTCCATTTTACTTAATAAGTAATAGTGACTAATAAGATTACACACATGCATGCATTGTTGACAGGTGTAGTTCAAAACTCTTCATGATAATTACATTGTAATTTTAATAGAATGCACAAAAATTATAAGTTATCACTTAAAATTTTGTAATAAAATAAAATGAAGCGCATGTATAAGTACTTTTTACGAATATTTTTACTTATTACGAATATAGTTTAATTGAAGTACAATTTACAATAGATCAATTACATCAGAATTCTATTAATATTTAATGTTATCATTTTATAATCTCTATTTAATACAATATTGTAAGTATAATGTTAATTTTATAGAATTAAATAGAATTTAATTGAATTGCAAAAATAGGGTTGAAAATTTTGGTCTATTCAAGTACATTTTATACATTGAATAGATTACATTTAAATCCTTTCAAATAATTTCCAATAAAAAGTTATAATTTTAATATTTTTTTCAAATTAAGTTATATTGCAATATTTAAAGCATATACAGATTAATATAGCTTTCTAATATACATTTATGTAATACTAGGAAAACTCACATGAATACGATTCGAATAATCTAAGGGAAGTATACAAAATTTATCCCTAGTTATTCATATTTCTCGTTACACATAGTTAAAATTAATTATTGATTACGATACAAACGCATAAGAGAATTACTGTTTTCAGAGTACTATATTAAATGTATATGAATTGTCACATTATTCTCTCTGTAAAGTAATTTTAATCTACTTATGTGTATAATAATTTTTAATAAACAGTAATATGAAATAGCAAAAATACTGCATATGACACGTGATACATTTTAGAGCGCCAAAAATTAAAAAAAGTAAACAAACATTGATGAACAAAGTCATTATCTGTCATATCAATTTATTGATTTGCTGCCAAATTATTGATTTCATTAACTAACATTTACAAGGTGCTTGCTAAAGTGTAAGTTTTATTTAAATTCTATGTTCAAAAAGTGCTCTTCAACAGATTCACATAATCTACATTAAGAACGTATCCAAACGCTGAATAAGTAAAATACAATTTGCATGTTCGAACCTTATTCAATTAAATCAAAGCAAATTTAAGTACAATAATGAAAAGAAAAATATTGATCGATTTCTAAAATTGATTGACAGGTCGTAATTTATCGTATATACAAATAATACCAAATCATTCACAATTGTATTTAAATCGTAATTATTTATAATTTTAATTTGAAAACAATGTTGAAGAAATGAAGAATTTTTTTTATTTTATTACCTTTTCTACGAAATGAACATTTAACTTACTTTTCTGTTAACAACAAATTATTGTTATTTTAACAATAGAATATAAAAATAAAATTATTACACTATAATTCTCTATTCTTAAGTATACCAGCCCTTATCTTGTCAGCACTTCAATTACATTATTATGAAAAATATCCTTTTTTATGTTGTTTGATTGAAAGTAATTGATTTCTATTTCATTAAATATGAATTTCAGTTATTATAGCGTTGAATTTGAATTTTACGTTGTTTTTATCAAATTATTTTATAGAAAAATAATTTATTATTATATTATACTCGTAGTGTGATTATTTCTTTGAAACTCATGGTGCTCGAGTCTGAGACCTCTACGTCCGGAACGATCATGGATTGTAGGTCGTCAATTAACGAGATGGCGTGCAGTTCGAATTTCACTTGATCTGGGTCCCCGGACACAGTGGGGTTTCGGGGAACTGTGAGGCGGACGAGCTTGTGAAATATGGAGTAACCCTCGAAATTCTACCTGGAAAGGAGCACCTGGGCATGCCTTTAACCATACATAAATTACTAATACGCAATGCAGCAGTGGAACGTATGAACCTCAGATGAGCGAATGGAACAACATGTAAAGCGAGAATAAAGTTGTGACCAAAGCTTGACTTCGCAGAAGAGATCTGATATCTCCTTGGCGGGAGAACATTGGTGCGGTGGTAGGGGTTTTAACTGGACACTGTCTGATTCCCCGTAAACGACATCTGTAGAATTTGCCGTGACGAAGAGTAGGAGACGGTAACCAACTGTCGTGTCCAGCGTTGGCGGGTTAAAGGCAGAAATTTCTTGGGTCCTACTCTTTTCATCGGGCTACGAACTTAGAGAATGTAAAACCTAGAGACCTTGGCCGGTTTCTGAGTAACTCAGGTTGGTTCTAATGAAAGGCCTAGGTGACCTACCTACTTACCTACCCAAAAATTTTGTCTATAGTGCTATAGATTTTACCTTTTTATATTTGCTGCCATTTTTTATGTTTCTTACATTAAAACAATTTCCGTTTATTTACAGAGGTGTCATGTATATGAATATTAATATTTCAAAAATTTTAATCCTCTAAAGATGGCTACTTATCTGATACCTTTTTTCATGATAAATTGACAGTTATGTTATCACTGATACTTGATAAGTTTATCTGCTCATTTCGGAAAGAATTATGTTTTAATTTAAATTCGAACAACAATTTTTTAGTGAATCAAAATATTAAATTCTAAAAAAAAGAAACCTAAATATAGAAAAGCATGCATAGAGTACATATCACAACATATTGAATTTTATTTCGAAATACTCGTAATTATTTAATTTACAAAAAAATACAAAGATTTATGCTATGAACACCATTTTTGCAAAAAATTTATAAAACTCTTATCATTTAATACTACAAATTTTGTGTTTATAATAAATTAATAAAATAAATATGTATGATTCCGGAAGTTCCATGACTAAATCAATAAAACATATATGAAGCAAAACTAAAAAAATTGCAAAAATAATTGAAGATTGATAAATTAATTAATGAAAAATATTGACGCCATATTTATGATAAATAAATTAAAATATTGGGAATTCCCCGTTTAGTGTACTTTCATGTGCATTTAAATATTCCATATAAGGTTGAAAGAGTCAATGATTTAAAATTTGAAATTTTATCAGAAAAAACTTACTTTAAATACGAAATAAATAAAAATATTTGAATCGGCATTTGTACAACGTTAACCCACGATTAACGGTTTGTTATTATGACTCGTTTAAGTTTTATAATATAAAATAGTCAGACAAGAAATCGACAGAAAAGACCGAACAGTTTTTCTCTGAAGACAGCCGCATATGATAGTAGTGAATATTAAAAATAAATCCAGCGTCTCAAAATTACCCTCTATGGTCATTATTTCCTGTTTCCGACACTTCTCTCAAGGTTTTACTGTAATCCATAATTTCCCTTACTAATCTTTGATCTGTTAATTTAGTTTCAATCAATATGTCTTGTTCCAAAATATTGAGCTGAAGTTTTTTCGAAGCTGTACTTTCTCTTCAGCATATACTTGGGCAACCACAGGAAACTTAAAATGGTTGTCTTAATTTACAGCAGTGCATAAGTGTTTGTTGCATTAAATTTGAATTACATAGTTAGGATTTTTTCTCCAATTAAATAATCATTCGAGCACACTAAATGAATTCTGCTATTCTGCAAGGTAATCTTCGGTACAAGTAAACGATTCCAAATAAAATATTGATTTTTTTAATCAATCGTAATCATATACACGTGCGCACCTTTTGTTTTTGCTTCGATAAAACATTTTCATCGTAAATCATAAAAAATAACAAACACGCTTAGAATATAACAAGTAATAAAATAATCTAAAATAAAACTTAAGATTG